AGTGCGACGAAGCTCTACAATTTGTGAAACATGGTAATTTATTTTAAAAGTCTATTGGAATGTATAGCAAATCGAATCGAGATGAGTAGCGAAGGATTACGAACCAGCATTATTTGGCATATACGTAAATAATTGCATAAGTACTTGAGGTTCGCAGTAATTGCTTACATGGCACTGTGATTTTTCGGATTGAGTCGCCCCACGATGATGAGATTGCCGTGAAGTGAGTGATCATTAAATTCGTATTGCGTTGCATCACGTTCAACTTTTACTGAGCCGGACAGATTATTTGGTTGGTCCTGCTGCCTCTTATAAAATGAAATTTCAAGGGACGCCAGGGTGCGTGAGTCTGATTTTATTCTACTCCAGTTATGCCCTGGCTCCGTGCGCACTGCAGTCATTACATTTTTTAGAGACACTACCTCACAATTCCAATTACACTTTTGATTCCTTTGAATTTGACATTCTTGGAGATGAAGGTGCTTGATCTGGCTGATGGTGACCGTAGCAGAGAGCCAACTACCAGTTATTTATTCTATTTAATGACAACTTTTTCTCCCTGCAGTCACAAATACGGTTCGGTTCGATTAATGATATATTCGCTCTGGAATAGGGAAAACTTAATGGGCGTGAAATGTAATTGTAAATTTCGCTGATAAGATTACGTTAAGTCAAGTGAAGCAAAGATGTGGACAAAGAGTGGATGCGGCGATACACTATAAACTACATATGTACACACATACATACGTGTCACTGGCCATGATAGAATTTCTGCTCGTTTCCTGTTTTTTATTGCACTTTGGCCATTAATGATCAGATTTCTTCAGGAAAGATTGGTTTGGAGGAGAGTGTCCGAGATAGTTGGTCATTAAATGGAATTAAATTGCTTTCTTTTATCGGAAAGGAATGACACTTTTGTTGAGAATCTTTTAACAACTAGAGAGTGCGGTCAATTTTGCATCTATAATAATTAATTATGCATTTTTATGCATGTGTGGTTGTCGTGAAATTTTGAGGTGTATCTTTACCATTTAAATATATCCATCGTCTTTTGGGCAGCATCCGTTTATATGAAGTACAAGTTTATAGGAGCAGTTTATGTAGTACTGTTCATATCCTGCACTCTCTACGTTCATAAATCACTTAAAATCCCCATAATTTGAGGCATGAAATTGAGTGTTGACAGAAGTCAGTTTTGTCTAGTTTATAAAGTTGGTAAATGAAAGTAAATATCACTTTCAGCTACCGCAGACTCCTGGCGCAGACCATGTGCAATCCAAACTTCCAATTAAATTTAAACAAACATTTCCGTTCCCCATAAAATCCACATTATTGCTGGTTAAAGACACCTTTTCTACACTCATCAACTCCCTCCCACTCCGAACACAATATCAAAAATGCTCCTATTGTGACTCAAGAGGCAGACACACATCTTGCTGGAAACACACATCCGTCGGAATGAGATTATGAGATCAGACTACAGAGAGCCAGCCCCTTGATTGATTTTGATATGCATTTACCTCGTTGGCAGATTGGGATCGACCAACGTAGATTCCAGGCCCGATAGAAACACTTCACCCTTCCATTGTAATTCCCATTGTAATCTCTGGAACGAATAAGTCAAGTTTCTGTTTTGATGTGGTGCTTCCTCAAATAATGAATGCTCAAAATCAATTTCAGCTTTTTTCTTGGCCGTAATTTCTTGTTTCCTAAACTGATGGCAATGCTTGATTCTGTCGGCTGTTACCGCTGAAGATAAATAAGTTTAAACATGCGGAGCACATGTGGGGGTTCTCTGGAAATAAATGAGTATACTTGGTTGCTCACAAAGTTGCCCAAATTACCACCATTCTTCACATTTTATCATTATTATTATTTATGAAATTAAATGAATGTGTGCACCTACGCAAGACTTCCAGCTCGTTCGGTTTAGTATACGTATGTGCATGCATACGTATTACTGACGGTGTTTACTTTTTTAAAGTCTTGCGAGATAAATGGGGACTCCAGGGTTCGTTCAAATTTCATTTGTACGGTCATTTATTTTATTTCAGAACTTAATGCGTTCTTTCTTTACACGCATTTTTCTTCTAATCACAATCACAAAGGGAGATTGAGCTCCTACCTTTCCCAACTTGACTAGCTATTCAATGCGCACAGGCACAACAGCCCAGAAAGTAGGCAAATGAGAAAAGTGAGAATTCTTAAAATCAACCGACTGAGGATGAGAGGAAGAAGTAACCTAAACTGCTTTGCTTGATCTTCCTTGAATACCGCTATATGAAAGAATACTTATTCTTCTACGCTACCACTTTTCTCACGGTGACAAAGAAAAAAGTTGAAAAAAAACATTTGATAAGCGCTTCAAACACCAATTCCTCCAGAAGTCAGAAAGCTCGAAACTTTGTTTTGTCAAAGTCAACCAAATAAAATAATGAGGAGTTGTAGTGCTACATTCGAATTCCTGCCTCGGGAGTCTCGTCGGGTAAAAAATGAGTATCCTTTTTCTGAACAAGAGACAAAATCAACAGATTTAACCCACTAATGTCGAGTGGAGTTGATGTTAAATGGGGAAAAGTAACGAGAGCGCAGGGTAGATCAAGAATAAGTTGGCAGATATTTCGTCTGAATGGTTCGTTGGCATTTGATGGGCATGTAATGAAACTTTCTGCTGCTCGTTATGGGCCAAGAAGTTGATGTAATGGTGAATGTGATGGATTACTCGAGGCTCCTTTATTATGGTTTTATCTATCGATAACTTGTCTTTTCTGTGGACCAGAAGGATGACATATTGCCTTCAAACATCCCTTTCCTTCGTTATTATTTCCTCTCCCACTCCTTTGTTGCGCATAGTAGAGCACCAGACCAAAGTGGTCCCACATTTGTATATGTACTCCTTCCCATCAGGACTGACAACTAATGGCTTTGCGAGTAAATTGTGATATTATCTGGGTTAGCACTCCTGATTACGGGCTCAACATGGGTTTTATGCTGCACTTAATGAATAAATTGCTCCGTGCTGGATGATAGCAAGCAATTCGACAAATCGGATTTGTGAGGTCTTTCTGTCCCCATTGTGTTGAGAGCGGGTGAGTTTTCTCACATTAACAATTACAACAACGTCATAAATTTATTTTTACAGCGTTATAATTTTATCAGTGGTCATTATTGATAGCTCTGATGAGTCGGTGTCGTGAGTTGTGGAGCTCTACATAATAATAATATTTTACTTGTAATACATAGTTCTATTCTAAATACTGCGCATATCTGTAATTGCCAAGTTTCTCGTGCAAGCTGGAAAGCGGACATAACGAGATGGTTGTTTTTAATCAAGAAATTCCAACTTGTTGGTTAATGCAATTTTTATGTAGTTTGAAACACAGCGCAAATCGTAATGAAGGGTTCTAGCATTATCAAAAGTTGCAACTGATTAAAAACATATGTACGCACACAACTCTCGCAGTTGTTTCTATGCTTTTGAGTGCAAAAGACACCGCACAATAAAATATGAAATTGGTAAACATAGTGCACATTATTAATGCATTGTTGACTTGAGTGAGTTGCGACTTCTGGTTTTTGGGCAAGGGACGGATAATTAGACATTCGAGATTGTTTATGGTTCAGGGAATAAAGCCAAGTTTTACTGCTTTTTAGTGTCCTTTTTCTTCTCTCATCTCTCAGCTTATCCTCGGCAATGGACAGGTTCATCACTTATTGAGTAGCTTACCATCGTTTTGCTCATTAAAAGTTGCGGTTTTTCTACTACCCTCCACTCGATCTATCCACTTATTACTCACGCGGATGGAGAAGCGTATAGTGAGTGAGCAAAAGAAGTTATTGCTATGTGCATATACACCACTATAAGACGAGGATAAGGATGAGCTCTTTAGACCACTCAAAGAGTCAAGGTTTAACAAAGCGTCATTTTTTCTTCGTCATTAAGACAAACTTATAAGATTCGTCAAATTGATTGTAGTGAGCGATAAAGAAAAATGATATGTGGCATCGGCAAACAAAGAAAGACAAGAAAACCGGAGAGAAAAATCTCCCATCACATCTGAAATCTTTTCAAGTAAAAGCAACCTTGAGTAATTTTATACTTTTCAAAGAAATCTCTGACTACCCCAATAACTTACGTGAGGCGTATTATGCATGACGTGAAGTTTCTTCATTACCAAAGGATTAGCATCATCATCATAACATGTTCATAATAATCCACCACTTTATGGTGTCAGCTAAAAATGTTCAAGAAATAAATACACATGTTCCTGCAGCGTCTCATGCATTACCGCTCATGAATTTCGGCCAATGTTTCGCTTAGCAAGAAAAATTAGAGGAAGTGACCAGTCACTTTTAATGAGTGAAAACATTTGGAATTAAACATATCACTGAATGTTCGCTCGGACAAGTGAGTGGAGATTGGACTCGGCTTGGCATGCACACAAATTCTACATTGTTGTAGGTGAATATTTTTTAAATTGCATGGAAAATTCTTTATGTTGCTGTAATAATGTGGCACTTGTGCTTCTTTCATAACGTTAAATCCTCCTGTGAGAATTTTAGTTCACTTACTTACACATTTGCTGGACTATGGCAGTAGTGAATAAGTAGTGTTACGGGCTGCATTCAGTTTTGATTTCAGTAAACGACATGTTCGCCCAACCTGCTGCAGCGCCACAACAGAGCGGTTAGATATTGTTCACTAATGGTTTCGGATTCTTCACATTGCAGCCACTCAGAGTTCATTTATTTCCACTTTTGATATTAAATGACCTGTCGCGGTCAGACTTTCTGGTTACAAGTCAGACAGACAATAAGGTTAAGTTTACTACACAACAACTTACCGGTGCTTACCACTTTGTCATTTCTTTCAAATGCAAAGTAGACAGGGAGGATTTAATGTTTCTAACCGAACCGATTGGCTGAGTGCTTTGCATCACATTTATTTGAACACATATAATTTGCAAAAAATAATGTATCTATATTTTGCATAATTGCAGGAAACCTGGCGTAGACGATATGGCCAGTCAAGGCATGCTGAATCAAAGGTAAGATATACTGTCTCAAATTCACCAAGACATTAAATGCTATTAACTCCAAGATAGTTACACTGGCATCGTCGCAAGTAATCATTCGTTCGAATTTCTCATCCATTCGAATTATTTAAAATCTAAACAATAATATTCAATTTAATGCTAGTTTTGCAGTAGGTATCAGTCTCACACGTGTATTAACAATTAGTTTTCCAAGAATTATGCGGATAGAACTTAATACAATTTAATAACTGCTCAGATCAGTCAGATACAATCAGTGTAATGACCAAGTGTGATTCGGTACGAAATACCACCTTACTAGTTAATATTTTAGCAAACTACCTTTCATCATGCAACCTCAAAGGAAGCCACGATGTTCTCTGTTCACAGGTCAAAACCTGTTCCAATAAAAACAATTATAACCAAGCATTATGTTACAAATCAAAAGTGTTTGGATGATTAAAGTTTCCCTCCTCGTCGTAGTCTTGAAAGTTGTAGCAACGCTGCTGTAACGCCGGATAAGATGTACATTGATGTTTGTAATGGAGCACAGACATTCGGTTTCTGCACGAAAACAAGACACATCCCACGACGCAGGCAGCAAGCTATTATTAACTCTGGGTGTTAAAAATCGATGGCAAGGCGCCGCCCATTTATTTATACCTGCAACATGGGACGTGGGTGCAATTTGAGTGAGCACTGTGAGAACAGCCAGCCAACAAACCTTACCAACTACCGATGACTAAAGATAATATTTCACGTTCACTGTTTTTTTGGGTGGTTTGCGTGCCACCCGAAATCATAAGGCTTCTACATACCAGTTTTGGGAGGATACCTCCGCTTTTTCTCGCGTCAAATGAAATGATGAAAATCTAAATGGCGTTTTCACAACTTCTCAGTCAGCCCACCGGTATTCAACATTGGGCAATATTCGAATGTACTAGAAAGGTTTTTGATGGTTTTCACCATAGTTTTAGGCTGCACCAACAATCTGCAAACTGCACACACGACGACGACGACGACGGGAAACAGGTAGGAAGGAGTAATAAGTAAATATGTGTTCACACGAGAGAAGATGACTCCTCCGTGTGAACGTGCATTCGTGAAGAGGATCTTTAGAGGAGGTAATTTAGGGAAGGAAGGAGATGAAGAAAATGGGGCGAAAGCAAACATGGAGCTTTTCTCCTCTTCTATACCAACAAATGAGGTATATATGTGATGTGTACAAGCAGCCAACAAATGAAGTTGGGAGACACGACTCGTGGCAATGTCAATTTAAATTCAAGTCCCGTGCAAGCTTTCAAATGAAAGTACGTTCTGACGCTGACCTGCCACTTGGCTCAGGGAGGATTCCTGAACAAATCGAAAATCGAAGTTTCGAGAGAGATTCTCCGACTTTCTGATGAGACAAGCCAAAGCAATTTATTACTCTCAGCTCAGCTCGCTCTTTTCTGGGGCAAAGTGAGCATTGGTAAAATAAATGCTGAAAAAATTAGTAAAAAAAACAATAAAAAGTAGTTCTTACAACTATTGCAAATATTTTGAGGTTGCAATTTTTGTGTGATATGCAAAAACACCAAGAACTGCACCTATGCAGGAGGGAACTCATCTTGAATATTAAGTTTGATTGGGCTCATGTTGCAAGGGAAGAACGAGTTGAGAAGGAGCCAGGAGAAATTCATTGCACTTGATTGTGTGTAGCAGATAGGAGATTTGTGTGAGTGTGTGTGTGTTGTGGTGTAGCAGAACCTTACAAGGACGCTGGTGGACTAGAATTTTAACAAAGTTTTTCTTTCTGATTTGATCAATCTGCATTCACGTCTCATCCCCCGGCCACCGTCCAGACCAGACCAACCAGGCCACTGACTTCTTTTTGAACCAGTCACCACGGCGAATGATTCCACCAACCAAGTAAATAATCCATTCTGGATTCGGGCGGCGTGACCTTAGCAAGGAGCACGTACGACGACAGATATGTTTCCGTACACGCGGGGAGCTGCGTGGTTTCATGCAATAAAATGAGAAAGCATTTCTTCACGTTCATTGTTGTGCTTTGTTTGTCTTTGCTCCGAGCACACGCTTCTCACAACGTACGGCAAGTCCCAACCTCGTGGTGGGATCAAAAAAAGAAAATGAGAAACCCGTTTTCGGAACTAATACGACGAGTATAATTCTGTGCACTACTACGAGGAAACCCCTTTTACTGAATTGTGGTGAGTCGCTCACGGCTGGAAAATCAGTATGCCAATCACATTATTATTAGATCAGATTCTCCAGAGAGAGAGAGAGAAAGAAAAAGAAAGAGGAAGGTGCAACAACAACTCGACGTGTAGTTTACTTTTTTCTGTAATGTTAGTTTATGTCACCACAAATGGTTCATGTTTTTTTAACTTTGCACTTTTCATAATTTTTGAGTTTTGTTCAGTTGAATTTTGTTGTCAAGAATCTGCTCATTTGATGATGTTAGAAGAAAAGAAATCCATCATCTTCAACTCAACGCACAAAACTGCCTGCTCAGGGCTTTTGACTGTTTTGTGATATCTTAATAATCTCTCACTAATCGTGGGATTGGCTACGAAACTTGAAAGTCGCTCATCCACCTACATGCATCCAATATTATTTAATTCCGTTACCTTAAAATGTCATCTCAATTCATATTCATTCTTTTAAATCTGTCGTGTTTTTATGCCACAAATCTGTCATTGTTTTTCTCCTTCAAAGCTCATAAGTAAAAAAAACTTGATTCTGGTTGTTCGTTTATATGACTGGTTGACTTGTGAGTATATCCATCCACCTGTATATTATAGCTCTTATGCATAGAGACAAGTCTGTGGAAATGAGATTGATTTTGTAAATCCTCCTATCGGAAATCGCATCAAATTTCATTTTAAAACAATAGGAAATTATAGTGAGCATCTTGCCTGTTTGATATCGCAAAGCTTATTTTATGCTGTATTGTACCAGTCTGTGCCCAATGAAGGCAAACAAAGATAGATAACCAGATAGATGCAGCTAAATATGCGTGTATGTACATATGCATGATGCTGGCGTGTATGGTTATGGTTGGATGGCAATAAGTTAAGTGAGGATTAATTTACAATTTAATATTGGCTTATAAACGAGAGATATGATCACTCGCCGTCGCCAAACCCTTACAAAAATCTTTACTCTGAGACCTTCTCATTCTCGTGTAAGTATAAATATGTACATAGGACACGGAATAAGGATTTTATAATCCAAGAAAATTCAAGCATGTACACCCGATGGTAAATTGTATGGTAAAATATTCCTCCATCTGCCAAGTATATCATTTTTGGGATAACATTCCCTTAGACAGAAGCAATTACGACTGGCCAATTTATTAAAATAAAAAAAGTTATTGCCCTTTGTTTTTCAATGCTACACGTTCTTATGATGCACCCCCCACAAACCAATGTTGAATAAGTCTATCAAAATTACAGGTTTATAATTAAAATGAAATTAGCAGTAATAATACTCATTACACGGATAGCAAGGAATCTGCCAAAGGGATATGTATTTATATAAGCTCGTCCTTTTCGCAAGATCTATCGACCATCTGGGCTGGCTGGGATTTTGCAAAAAGACACAGGAATGGATGGGTGCACACAAACTGTACAAGTGAAAAAAAAAATACCAGCGAAATAAATTTCTTGATTTCTGCTCCTTTTTCATGTCGACCAGTATTCGACACAAGGAGATGAGGAGGCTACAGGGAGGAGGATAAAGTGTGGATCCTCCGAGTCAGTGAGTTATTAGGTTGTTACAACTTTGCTAATGACAATTCCATGATGAAAAACTAGCTTCTTGTCAATTTCACAAAAACTTGTAATTCATTCAGTTCAACTTGAAACATTCAAGTGTTCATATCAAAACCCAACCCATTTTCTTGTGTGCAGGAGCCAAAGGTGCAACAAACAGCTTAACAAGTAAATAGTAGTGAGCAAGACACAGTAATCCATGCAACCAGCCAACCAACCCCATTATCTTTAAGTGATTCGGTTATCTTTTACCAACCAAGGAAGGGAATGGCAATTCATGTTGGTGCTTAGTACGCAATTTGAGTTATGAATTGAAGGTCTTGTGTTCACTTAACCTGGAATTATAAATTACATTCACCACTCTTCCCCTAACAGTTATTGCTTCTCTAAATTTCGTGTTAAAATTTAAATTGGATGATGGTTGTTAACTCGAAGGAACCAACTTAATTTTGCCAACTCATAACTTTGTTGCTCCTTCTTTCACTTGTTGATTTGACTCCGCACTGCCTCTGAACCCTGTTTGACTTCATTTGCAAAACTCTGTGTCAATGACATAAACCACACCACACTGCTCTCAGGATTAGCTAGTGGCATATGTACAATATGAACACAGTAATTAATTTGGCACCTCGGGTGCAATCAGTTTTTCTCATTTCTCATCTCACCAATCACACAAATCTGAACTAACCTTCTGTAATAAATAAATGAGTCTTTCATTACGAACATTTAAAGTTGTGACACTTAATGAAGTTCATTCTTGTTATAGCGAGATTAAATGAAGTGAAGATGAAACGGTTCTTCAAACATGGTGAATAATCCCGTAATCGTGTAAGCAAATGACTTTCATCAGAAGCTTACACACTAATCAGGCATAAAGAAAGTTCAAATGACATGATGAAATTTTATGTCGTAATTGAAAGTCAGTAGAGATTTGGTTAACAGGGGAGCAGGGGAACACCAATGTAATGGCAAGCACGCAATCACGATTTAAGAAAGCTTAATTTTTACGCAAAACCTGGCAAAATACTCCTCGATCATGTCAAAACGACTTGTGCAATATCACGCGCCTCCACTCACGGGGTGAATTATTGTCCATGATTTTCCCCAAGTGAGTAAAATATGAGGGATGCGTGCGAAAGCTTAATATGTTTTATGCCTCGCTTATATAAAACATATTTTTGGCAAATATGTTTTTCTTCATTTCTTCGTGCCGCTTCCAACATGAGAGATTCCCCA